AGTGAGCTGTATCCGATTTTGCTTGGAGATCTCAAGGTAGCATTACATGTGTTATTCATATGCCTTAAAGTCCCCTATTTTATCTTATGTTCTTACTATTAAGTTTTCTAGATAATATTATATTTTATTCAGACCTTGTATTCCGTATTCTATATATCTCATGCACTCAGTGATACCAGATTTAGGGTGGATTCACTTGTATTGACATTTTTACTTCAGTTATTTGTACCATTCCGTTTTTTAGACAATTTCTTTCACGACCCAGCCTAGGGCCGAGACGAATAACGACACTAAGTGCCGATCACCACTAAACCTGGTATAATCTACTAAGAAGGAATATAAACTGATAAACCGAACAAGCATAAGCATAGCTGATAAGAACAATACAATCTAAAAAGCCGACAATGCTAATAGAAGCAAACATATAAAAACAAACTAACTGCACAGGTGCATCTCTACATGCCTCTAGGAGTGCTGAAGTGAAAAAGTACTAGACGGAATAGGGTCTTGCCATACCCAAACTACTGACTGTACACATGCCAAAATCTAAGTAACTCGGGGACTAAGCGGAGTGACTCTAACAACTGGTGGATGGTCTACTGATATGGCTCAAGTGCTAATCTATCTATACCTGCATGGCATGAAACTCAATGGACCGAAAGGGACGTGAGTACGATATGTACTAAGTATGTAGGGTGGAAAGCATACTAAAGTATGACTGTAAGTTGGAAATTTGAATATAAGCTAAAAGCTAAACAAAATCTGAACTAGGAACTAATCTGGAACTAAACCAAAGTTTAAGCAGAAACTATGTTGAAATTGAACTACTATCTGAATTGGTACATGTCTGCGTTATGAGCTATATCCCTCCGATCATGTAACTATACATCTAAACTAGCCTCATTTATAGTCATGCAATACAAACTGTATCTATTTACGCATATATAACATGCCTTACTAATGTTATGAGTTATATCCCCTAGTAGGTAAATATATAATCAATAGGTCTGGCTGGTGTTATGGGTTATCTCCCCCCAACATACAGTCAATAGGACTCCATGGAGTTATGGGCTATATCACCCTTGCGTAATCAATGTAAGCATGTATGAGGCAAAACATATGTGGCAACATCATATGGACTCAAGATATCACGAAGGAAACCATAAAAAGAATCACAAACGTAATCTGACGCTCGTCGTCCATAAGTTGGATGGAGGAGCATATCCCCATTTTAAGGAGAAACTGAGTATTTACATGAGATACTAAGGCTAATTAACTCATTAGGATCCCTCTAGAATCTAATTAAAAAAATTCCAACTCTTTGAATTTCCAAAATTTTGGTAGAGTTTCCCCTAAAACTGGATGATAAAAAAACAGCAAGCACCATAATATACACGAGAATGGATACCTATCCAAGTTGATAGCATCAATCTAAAGGGGATTCACTTCTCCACAATAGTGTAAAATGATCGACAAAACAGAATTATGAACGTAATGTCAGCTTATAATGACTAACTTGTGACATGAAAGTCTAAATACGATTTAGAAATAATCTAAGAATAAATACATGATAATTAAGTTTATATAATCTTAAATGAAGCTATTAGTATCATATGGGGGCTAGGTATACGTGAAAACATCAAAGTAACGAAATAAACAGAAGTCCAGAAGGCATAGGCCAAATGGGCGATTCGCTGTTTTTTGTTTTTGTGGTGTTTTGAGGTTCCAACCTAAACTAGTTTCTTACATAATTCAAATATGGAATTGAATATTATACAACACATGCTTAAATTTCCCTTAAACAACTCTTAAAAGATCAAGAAGAAAGGCTAGAACATAGTTAAATCAAATCATGCCAAAAACGAAGTGAAAACCCTACATACCTCTTGTGTTCTTGCTTCCAAACCTTATCCCCCTTTATCCACACCCTTCCTTATGCTTGTATGTGTCACGACTTAAACTGGAGGGTCATGACTAGCACCCGGGCCATACCTGCCGAGTACCAACGTACATTTTATCTAACCTTTCTTATTATTTATAAGGGCCGACGATATCAACATGAATAGTAGACATGAATCATGAGCAACCAACAATGATATATAATGACATGAACATACATAACATGGGTCGACAAGGATGTCATGAAGATATATATAAGGTACGAGCTTCCATGCTGCTATGACAGACTATACAACAAAAATCAGCCGACAAGGCAGTCCAAACTATACATGAGTCAACACCTGTCTATGAGCCTCTAAAGGAAAATAAATGCTATAACATTGCTGGAATAGGGCCCCGACATACCCATAATGTCTATAACAAAAGTTCATACCAAGACTATGGCAAGTCTGGATTAGGGATCTCGCTAATAACCGCTGAATTGGGCAGCCTACTGTGGTGGGGGAGCTTTGCCTACCTGTCTATCAGGACCTGCAGCACGATATGTAGTATCCACAAATAAAAGGGATGCCAGTACGAATAAAGTACTGAGTATTTAAGGCAGGAAGGCGTAAATAAGAACAGTAATGTAAATAGGGATAGAAAATATACAGCCTGTAACATATGAGTACCTCTGAGGGCTATTGACATGCATGATACATATATATATACATAAACTTTTTAAAATGTATGCCTCTGTAGGCATCATCATCGTATCGTACCCGGCCATAATTGGCTTAGTAAAAACATACCCGGCCATTATAAGGCTCGGTAAAATCGTACCCGGTCATGTGGAGCTCGATAAAACCTAATTGATCAGTGGTTGCATAATAGGTATCGTACCTATCCGACTATATCGTGGCTCAGTAGAGTAAAATAGGTACATATATAGTGCATACTAGACTCATTGGAATCACATTCTGAACCTTTCGGAGTGATGTAAGGTCAGTAACCTTCGTACACGTTATTAGGACTAACTCTTCATCATGGATCTTATAAGAATCAAGAAGTACCAACAACATTGATAACATAAGAATAAGAGAAGCAACATCAACATCAATCGTTCCATAAGAAGGGAAACAATGTAAGTACTGCTAGTTTCTAAGAGTGAAGTATCTTTAAAAGCTCGTTCATTACATTTTGTACAATCGGAGTCATTCAAAAGAAGAAGGAAAGGGATAGCCTCACATACCTTGTATATATTACCCAACCTCAAGCTATGCAAATGTCACGACTCCCTAATCTACAACAAGAGAAATGACAATGTCGTTATCATTTAAGCATCGTAACTATTACATATCGACCGCAACCTATTTTACGATGAACCATACAATACCTCCCCTAATTATATGACTTCCCACGAGTTAAAACAATCACGAAACAGCCCAAAAAACATCAATAATAATCATATTAAGCCTCCCAACATAGTCCACCAACCAACAACATACTAACAAGTCTTTCGATAGATAACTCACAAGTTTTAGCTTCAACGACTTAGCCTCAACATGGATAATCTTAAATACATGTAGAGTAAGAGGTTACTTACCTTTAAATGGATAGATAAAATCCAATTTGACCTTAATTCACCACGAAATATCCTTCCAATGCTGCCACAAGAACAAGGAAGCGAAACTAGGGTTTTCCGGCACTAGAATCACTTTGGAAAACTTGAAATCACCTAGGGTTGATATTAAAAACTTGAGGGAGTATTTTACAGAACATAAACCACTTAAAAAAACCTCCCAAGTGAGCTGGAACCACACAAAAATCAGCAACAAGAAGAACAAGAAACTTACTAGCACCACGGGATTTCGGACACTTGATTTGTGTTGTTTGCCCTTTGTTTGGGTCTTGGATCATGAGAGAACCTTGAGAGAGTGTTTTTAGGTGTCTAGGGTCTGATGATAATGAAAAGTAAAGAGTTAAAAGGGGGTTAAGGCATCTCATATATATCAATATATCTCAACCGCCTATATGGGCCCCATAGAGAGCTACTTGTGAAGTCTCGCAAAAACGCGAATATCTCTCTACTCCGACATCGTATCGACGAATGGTTTAATGAGTTGAAAACTAGAATCATAGATATTCAACTTGGTGGGTATATCACCCCATCATTGCAAGAAAATTTAGTAACATTTGACCTAAAGTATAAGTAAAATTATGTACGTAAGTTGCGACAACTTCTGTCGACTTTTGTTTCATAACTCGTTTGACTTCAAAACATATGATACGGATATTATATGATTCAAATACCTTAAAAACGACCTCTTGAGAATATTAAGAACCTCTAGTTTTACCCAAAAATATGGGTTACAACATCCTTGATTTGTTTAACTTCTAATACTTGTTAACCACTCTTATACACTCTTGTATCATTTAAGGCCAATATGATTAACTTCTTATCATCTCAAAGATAATCGCTTTTCGTATTTATGTCGACTAACTTACGGTGTGATCTAACATACATGAATATGGGTTGTAACAGTATAGATATGATAAAGAGATTACAAGATTTCTTAGCCATGAAGCTCTTTCCAAAACTTGAGCTATAAGGAGAAAGGCGGACTTCAAAGTCTTATCTATGTCATAAGGATCGTGTTTATGTGTTCACTTCTTGATTTTGAGTTGCGGATGATGGACTTGCTTCAAAACCCTAAGGAACATCTTGGAGAGCTATGGAAGCTCTACTTGGGCGTGAATTTTTTGCAAATAGAGGAAAAAGAAGGCTAAGTCTTCTATTTATAGTAAGGTTGAAAAGTCAACCACATGTGCTTCACCGGCCCTTCTTCCGATGCCCATATCTCTTTATCCAGACGTCGTATAAATGAGCGGTCGAGAGAGTTGGAAACTAACTTACATGACCTTAAATTTGGTATATAATATGTCCCCGAAATAACTCATATAACACACAAAATTAATTGCTCAAAAAACTTTGTTACAAGGCAAATCCTTAATCGATTCTTCCGCAACTTAAATCTGATTTTTTCCAAACTTTATATTCTATATTCAAACATCATATATAGTAATATTATAACTTTAAAATCATTTAAATCATGCTTAAAAATTCATTTACACAATATACGACATCACATATGTATGGGGTGTGACAATCTCCCAATCTTAAGAACATTCGTCCTTGAATATTGACTGAGGTATACAAAAGCATTAAGCAATGATCCATTACATACATGGAGTAGTGAAGAGGTGTGGATATATGGCTCTCATATCCTTCTTAGCTTCCCAAGTCATCTCTTCCACATTATTGCTTCGTCCTCAACCGACGAACCTGCTGATCTAAAATGGCAACTAGTACCTCCTCATAAGTTAATTGCTTGGTGATCTGTACATCATCAACTAGTACTACTCTAGAAGGATCTCCAATACACGTCCGAAGCATGGAGACATAAAACACTAGATGTACCTCTTGAAGGTCTGCTGGAAGGTCCAACTCGTATGTTACACGACCAGCTCGTGTGATGATCAGGTATGGACATATATACCTAGGGCTAAGCTTTCCCTTTTTTCAGAACCTTATAACACCTTTCATAGGTGACACCTTCAGGAACACCTAATCATCAACTTGGACTTCTAGATCTCAGTATCGATTGTCTGCATATGAATTCTGTCAACTTTGGGTTGCTAGCAATCTCTCCCTAATCAGCTTAACCTTATCCACTTCTTGTTGGATCATATATGGGCCTATAAGTTGATACTCACAAACTTCAAACCATCCTATGGGTGATTTGCACTTACGCCCATACAAAGCTTCATAAGGTGTCATTTTTATGATGGAATGATAACTATTGTGGTATGCAAACTCTATCAACGGTAAGTGTTCATCCCAGCTACCTTTGAAATCTAACATACATGCCCTTAACATGACCTCGAGCATCCATATGATTCGCTTGACCTGTCCATCTATCTAGGGATGAAAAGTTGTACTCAAATTCAATTGCTAGAAGTTAGCTGTAAACTGTGCGCCTCTACCTGAAATGATAGATATTGGAACGCTTTGGAGATGTACAATCTCCCTGATATAAAATCAGGCTTAATCTTCTATTGTATAGGTAGTGCTAACAAGCAAGAAATAAGTTGATTTAGTAAGCCTGATGACTATAACCCAAATAGAATCATACCTGCTCCTCGTACGTGGCAGTCATGTAATAAAGTCCATATTTACTACTTCTCACTTCCATGTTGGGATCTTTATCTCTTGTAACAAATCGCTAGGCTTCTGGTGCTCAAACTTAGCATGCTGGCAGCTAGGACACTAGGCCACAAACTCTACTATGTCACATTTCATTCCACCCCACCAATAAATCTGCTTAAGATCATGGTACATCTTAGTAGAGCCTGGATGAATTGTGTACCTGGAATGATGTTCCTCTACCATAATTTTCATGCGTAACCCTGCAGCGTCTGGAACAAAGAGCCTATCTTTATATCTGAGGACTCTTTTACTAGTAACTATGTAAGGAGACTTTTTATTTTTCCTGGCTACCATACTGTACTTAATTAGAACTGGATCTTCATATTACCTCTATTTCACTTCGGTCACTAAACAAGTGGTAGTCGTATTCTGAACTATAACTTTTGCATCCTCTAAATCTATCAATTTAATACCCAAACTGGCTAACTGATGGAGTTTATGAGCTAACTCCCTTTTTTTAGGCTGAAAGCAAGCTAAACTCCCCATGGACTTATGACTGAGAGCATCAACTACAACACTAACTTTACCTGGATGATAAAGAATGTCAACGTCGCAGTCCTTTAGAAGCTCTAACCACTTTCTTTGCTGCAAGTTCAACTCCTTCTATTTAATTATGTACTGGAGGCTCTTATGATATGTATAGATATCAACATTAATGCCATAGAGAGAGTGCCTTCAAATCTTCAGTGCTTGAATAATCGCTGCTAGCTCCAAGTTATGTGTAGGATAATTCTGTTGTGCTTCTTCAATTGTCTAGAAGCATAAGGAATTACCTTTTTGTGATGTATCAGCACATAACCTAGGCCAATTCGAGAAGCGTCACAATAAATAACATAACCCTCAGATCCCTCTAGAAGTGTAAGAACCGGAGTTGTAATCAACCTGTTCTTCAACTCCTGCAAACTCTTCTCACATTCATCTAACCACTGAAATTTGGATGCTTTCTGTGTTAATCTAGTCAATGGCGCTGCAAGGGAAGAAAAGCCTTCTACGAACCTCTTGTAATACCCTGCTAAACCCAAAAAGCTACGTACTTCGATTGGCGTTATAGGTCTAGGCCAATTCTTCATTGTCTCTATCTTCTGACCATCTACTTTGATGCCCTCTGATGATATATATGTCCAAGAAATGCTACCGAATTCAACTAGAATTTGCACTTCAAGAATTTGGCATACAATTTCTTGTCTCGGAGGATACCCAACATTATGCGCAGATGCTTCAGACTTGGAATAAACCAGAATATCATCAATAAACACTATCACTAATAGGTCCAGATAAGGCCTAAACATGTTGTTCATAAGATCCATAAATACCGCTAGGACATTAGTCAACCCAAACGACATTACTAGAAACTCGTAATAGCCATATTGGGTTCTGAATGATGTCTTAGGTATCTCACATTCTCTGACTCTAACCTAATGGTAGCCTGATCTCAAGTCTATCTTCGAGAAGAACTTAGCACCCTGAAGGTAGTTGAACAAGTCATCAATTCTGGGAAGAGGACATTTGTTCTTGATCATGACCTTGTTTAGTTGTTTGTAATCTATGCACATACGTAGGGAGCCATCTTTTTTTCGCAAATAATATTGATGCTCACCAAGGAGAAGTATTGGGTCTAATAAAACCCATATCAAACAAATCTTTCAACTGCTCCTTAAGTTCCTTTAATTCTGTTGGTGTCATCCTGTAAGGAGGAATAGATATTGGTTGCTTACCCGACACTATATCGATGGGAAAGTCAATTTCCCACTATGGATAAAGACCTGGAAGATTATACGGAAATACGTTAGGGAACTCATTCACTAGTGGAACTGATTCAAGAGTCAGTATTCCCTTCTCTATGTCTCAAACATGAACCCATGATATAAGCATCCCTTAGCGATCATCCCTCTTGCCTTAAGGTACAAAATAAATCTACCTTTTAGTGATGCAGAAACACCATTCTATAAATGACCCTTCTAGGAAATCTAAACGAGACCGTCTTCGCTCTACAGTCAACATTAGCATAGCAAGAAGACAACCAATCCATACCAAGTATAACATCAAAGTCAACTATTTCTAACTTAATAAAGTCAGCTATAGTACTAGGGTCACCAATCACAACCGTGAAACCTCTAAAAACTAGCCTAGCTACTATTGAATCACCAACTGGGGTGGCTACCTCAAAAGGTTTAATGGCATCTAGTTCTATCCTAAACTTAGTAGCAAGAAAGGGAGTGACATATGATAGTGTAGAACCAGGATCTAACAATACATACACATTCTGAGAATTCACTTATAAAGTACCTATAACCACTCTAGTGAAGCCTCCTAGTCCTGACGACCAAACAGAGAGTAGGTGCGGTTCTGGGGACCGCCTGTAGTAAGAGTTCCGCCTCGGCCTCTACCATGGTCTGCTAGTGTCTGAGGAACTTGCCCTTGCAAGCGTGCTGGTGCTGAAGAAGCTGCAACTAATCTTGCCGACTGAGATGCACCATTACCACCCCTAAACGAGCATTCTCTCATAAAATGACCTGACTCACCACAAACATAACATGCATCTTAACCCAATTGAAATCGGTCCAAATAGTGTCTACCACAATCAAAACACCTAGGGTAAAGTGAACCACCCTGACTAGAAACACCTCGATACTAGGACCTTGAAGCACGTGATTCCTGACTAGCTCTAGACTATGAGGGTCAATTAGATCTCGGCCCCTAAAATCGTGAAGGAGTACTAGCTGCTGTCGACGTAACAACTATATTGTCTAGAAGCACCAGATGTCTCACCAAAAGAATACTTGCAATGTCCACACTCGACTGAATACGTCCAATGTCCACACTCAAATGCATAGATACAGTCATATATTCACTTACTAAGTGAGGACCAAGTCTTGCTACACATGTGTACCATGTCCTCCATGTCTGATACAACTGCAAGAGCAAACCTCTCCAAAGAATTAAAGCAAAGGTTCAATTCTGCAATACTCATACCCCCTGTCTCAATGTCAGGAACTTATCCAATCATGCTCTACGTGTCTCTATAGGTAAGTAATGGTGGAGAAATGCCTCTAATAACTCCCTACAGGTAATTGGAGCAGTATTTGCTACCCTAGACATCTCCCAGTGGTATATCAACCTGCTGCTAGATCTTGTAATCTATATGCCACCAATTCAACTGACTTTCTATATATGGCATGCATAACTCTAAGGGCTCTAACTACTCTATCTAGAAAATTTTGGGGATCCTCTGTTGTACTAGATCTCGTGAAAATTGGAGGCTCTAATATGAGGAAATCAAGAATCATAGAACTTGTATCATCACCCTGAGGACCATTATTCTACCATCTGGACTGGGTAGCTACAATTCTAGTTAACAATCTAACTACATCCCTCATGTCGAAGTAGACGGAGGTGTGGTAGCTGGAGCACCACCTAACTTCTCCCTAAACAAACATAGTCCATGAAGCTCTGGATGGAACCTCATGTCTGGATCCTTATGCTCATCTAACTTAGGTGGTACTCTGCTAGAACCCTGGCCAGCAATGGTTTTGCCCTTCAAGGCAGTTGTGAATCTCTTTGGAGGAATCCCTACATATAAAATATTTCATTAGAAGGCTGAATTCTTATAACATAGCTCAATCGCACAATCTAGAGAAGAAGGAAGGACAACCATTCTATAATGCCCTGCAGCCTCATGTTCATAAGTATGGTGTGCAACTTACTCTTGAATAAGACTCCACTATACATGGCTTGTAGACACCCAAGGACTGAACTGCTCTAATACCATGTTTGTCACGACCTACCTAGGGCCGCGAAGGATAACCGACACTAAGTACTGATCATCACTAAACCTGCTAATAATCTACTAATCATGAATTTAACTGATAAACTAAACAAGCATAAACATAATTGATAAGAACAGTACAATTTTGTAGCCAACAAGGCTAACACAAGCTGACATATAAAAACATACTAACTGCACAGGTGCATATCTACATGCCTCTAGGAGTGCTGAACTAAATAAGTATTGGACGGAACAAGGTCACTCCATACCCAAACTAGTTGAATGTACACATACAAAGAGATAACTTACTCCCGGAGTAAGCAGCGTGACTCCAATAGCTGGTGGATGTCCTACTGATGTGGCTCAAGCGTTGATTTATCTGTACCTGCACGACAAGAAACGAAACACCTCAGAAGGGACGTGAGTACAATATGTACAAAGTATGTAGGATGGAAAGCATACTAAAGTATGAATATACGCTGGAAATCTAAATATAAGCTGGAAGCTAAACAAGAGTCTGAACTAGCAACTAATCTAGAACTAAACTGAAGTTTAAGTTGAAACTATGCTGAAATTGAACTACTATCTGAACTGGTACCTGACTGGAGTTATCCTCTATATCCCCCAATAAGGTAACTGTACATCTGAACTGGCCTCCGATATCGTCGTGCAATACAAACTGTAACTATATACACGTATATAACATGCCTGACTGGCGTTATGCGCTATATCCCCTAGCAGATAAATAGGACTGGTTGGTGTTATGGGCTATCTCCCCCAGCATATAATTAATAGGCCTCACTGGCGTTATGGTATATATATCCCC